CACCCCTTTCCCCCTTCCCCCCTTCCCCCTTCCCCCCTTCCCCTTACCCCCGGGTACCCGGAACCCAGGGCCGCCTCCCTTGCCGGCGGCCGAGGGCTACCGGGCCGAGACCCTCTCGCAGCGCACGCGAGGCGTTGCCCTCGCGAGGCAGCTCCCCGAGTCGCCCGAGAGGACCGCCGAGATCACCCGAGATCACCCGAGGCTAGGCCTTGCCCTCGCGAGGCAGTTCTACGAGGTTGCCGCCGCGCGCGCGCCGCTCGGCGCGGCCGCGTCCCCCTCCTTCCGCGCGCGCGTATTTCTTTTTCCCAGCGGCATTTCTTTGTTCTCCAGGCGTGGCCGCGTCCCCCCCCTCTCTTTCGGGCAGTGCGTCTCGCTTTTTGCCCACACCTATTTCTTTTTTTTCTCCAGGCGTGGCCGCGTCCCTCTCCTTCTCGCCCGCCGGAGACACCGGCGCATCGCACCACGCCGCGCTGATGGCGCACGCGACCGGAGAGCAGCTTCGCCTGCTCACCGCCCAGCTGACGCTCGAACGAGAGACGGCCGGCGCGCCGCCGCCGCCCGCCGCCGCGGCCCTCGCGCCCGGCCGCTGGCGCTTCGTCGACTTGCCGCTCAACGAGACGCTCTTCCGCTGCTTCGTGTACGGCCAGGCGCCGTGCGCAGAGAGGCTACGCTTGTGTATTTCTTTTTATCACAATAGTTCTTTTTTCTCCAGGCGCCGTACGCAGAGAGGCTACGCTTGGAGCTGCGCGTGCCGGAGCGGCGCTGGTGGCGGATCAAGGTGCGCGGGCTCGCCTACCCTCCCCTACCCCACGGTCCCCGAACCCATCCTCCCCTACCCCCACGGTACCCGAACCCACCCTCCCCTACCCCACGGTACCCGAACCCACCCTCCCCTACCCCACGGTACCCGAACCCACCCTCCCCTACCCCACACTCCACGGTACCCGAACCCATCCACGCCTACCCCGGGCGGCACCCGAACCCAGGTGCGCGGGCTCGCCCAGCTGCGCGATTGGCCCGCCCTCTGGCTCTTCTACAACTCGGCGCGCCGGCCGCCGCTCAGCGCCGCCGCCTTTGCCGAAGCGGCCATCGCAAACGGCGCGCCGGCGGAGGCCGCGCGCTACGCGCCTCGGATGCCGCCCGCCGAGGCGGTGCCGCTCCTCCTGCAGTGCGGCGAGGCGAGCGCCGCGCGCGCGATCGCGCTGGCAAACAAGGACAAGAACCCCGAGCTGCTGAGGCGGGTCTCCGCACACCTCGGGGCGGCGCCTTGAGCGGAATAGAGGCGGGTTGTGTGATGGTACTAATGAGGTGGATGACATGCCTGGTGTGTGCAACGCGGTGAGCACCCCCCCCCCCTTTGTGCACCCTCGCGTCTCCACGTCTGACGACAGGAGCCCCACGGCATTCAAAGTGCAAGGCCCAGTGCGCGTGGGAGCGGTGTGTGTGTGTGTGTGTGTGTGTGTGTGTGTGTGTGTGTGTGTGTGTGTGTGTGTGTGTGTGTGTGTGTGTGTGAGGGGGGGGGGTGTCATGTCACTGCATCCTCTGCCGGTTCCTCCCGTCGGGCGTCGCCTCTTCTTTGTTCGAATGTATTTCCTAATACAGCGTGGTCGTCGTGTTGTATGTGGATATCACGGTGCACCCGGCCCGCACCTGCAGTTCCCTCGTCACCTCTCCTGGCGAGCCTGCGAGCTCCCTTCTCTTTCTTTCGGGTATGGAGTCTGTGACTGAGTGCTGAGTGCGGGCAGCGTGCAGGCAATCACGGGCGCTATTTTGTCGTACTCCTCTTCGGCGAGCGCTCCAAATCTAGACGCCATTGTGTGGAGAAGTTTACCTTACCTTACCTTACCTTACGCCATTGCCTTTAAGGAGGCTGCTCTCGCGCGTCTCAGAAATGTAGCCGTGTCTTTTGAATCAGGCGCCTCCCGTTCGACTCTTGCTGTCGCCCTCGCCGTGTGTTTGTCGAGCTTCCGCATGAAGTAACGCGCCTCTTCCTTGTTTTCAGCGCAGCTGCCGCTCAGTATGTGCGCCAACGACGCCTGAGTGTGGTGGCTCACTGTCTTCTTGATGTGTCCCATCGTCCCAATCTCTCCATTCTCCATTTCCTACTGGGTGGCACTGAGGGGCAGTCGTGTTGCACCCCGCCGTTCATGACACGTGTGTAGCCGCGACCCTCTAGCAGCCTTGGCGTTTTCAGCGCGGCCTCCCGACCGTGAGTAGAGGAGGTTTGGCGTCTCGTTCTACTCTGGCTGCGGCAGGGCAGACGGTGTGGTCGAGCTTCCTTGCGCCCCGTGCGGTGTGTTAGGCGGCGCTTCGGTGGCGGTGTAGCCGCCGAGTAGGGGCGAGTGAAGCCCGACATCGTCTACGCCTGACTCCATACTCCGCTATCGGCAATACAAAAGACATTACGCGGGCGGGAAAAGATATTACGCGGGGCAGGTGTGAAAACGGGCTACCCCGACACGGGGGTAGTCGCACTGGCACCGTCGGGTCTGACCGAAAGTCCCAAGTCAGCGCCCCGTCCGGTCCACACCAGGTGTTTCGATGATCTCCTCTGGCGTGCGCAGGTCTATAAGCAGAGCCCCGCCCTTGACACTACGGATGTCGTCGGGTGAGGCAAGCGGTGGCATGCAGAAGTGGCGCTGGAGCCAGAGCGCGGCGAAGCATGCCCGGCCCTAACTCGAGTACCCGGGTACCCGGGTACCCAAGTAGCGGTCTCCCGCTGCCTGCCATCACACAAGACAGTCTGTAGGTGATGGCGGGACGGCGCAGTGTTTGTGGCACTCGGCAGTAGGCACCCGCGGCACGGCCCCGCTGTCGGCTCTCGCGGGCTGCGGAACCGGCCCCAGAAGGGGACGGTCCGGGCGAGTGTGGCAGCTCCTGCGCTAGTATGGGCACCCTCTATCACAACACTACTGATCCTGGTCCTTAGAGCTGCCAGGGATACGGGGACGCCGCCGTGCGCGCGCTGGAGCAGCGCGACCGCTGGGTGGCGCCAGTGCCGTTGCGCAGAGCGCGCGTCAGGCAAGCAGGGGAGGCAAGCGTGGTGTGTGTGCGATTTCTGTTGGCCAACGCCTGGGACAGGTCCGCTGACACTCGAGCACTAACGTACACGTACAAGGACATCGGCGCCACCTCTATCCCGCGGCGCGGGGCGCGCACGCTCGGGCGCGCGAGGTCTCGCCAAACACGTCCTACGGCTGTACCACAGGCTGCTGGCGCGGCTCGGCGGGGTGCCGCCGCACGAGGCGAGCCACCGCTATGCGGCGGCGGAGGAGCTGCCACCGCCGCCAGAGCGGCCCCGCATCGCACGGCACCGCTCCCATGCTGCACAGCGCGAGGCGGCGGCTCACCGTGCGGTGCTCCGGAGCCGGGAAGAGCGGCACCGCCACCGTGTCGAAGAGCTTGTACGGCTGCTGCAGCAGCACCTGCGGCGTCTGCTGGAAAAAGTTGCGGAACGGAACGCCGCCGCAGGTAGGGTCCTGCTCGTGGACCATTGCGACCGCGATGCGCCGGTCCATCGCCGCTTGCACGAGGCGCGCGACGGCGCCGCCGGCGTCCAGAAAGGTCTTATCGTTCAGGTAGAGCAGAAACACTACGTGCCCGGAGAGCGGGGCCGCGTTGACTCCCTCGAGCGCCTCCTCCGCATCGCGGATCGTTACCGTCTCGGCGCTGGCGGTAGAGCCGAGATGGCGGTCGCGCCCCTCCCTCGCCGCCGTCTTGAGCGCCCTTGCAATGCCGACGGCGCTCTCGTTGTCGCGGCACACGAGGATGGTGACGGGGCCGCTGAAGGCAACGGGGCCCGCCTGGCCGGGCACCATCACTCCTGCAGCAAGCTCGGCCGGGCGGCTCGCATAGTAAGGAGAGTGCAACAGCATGCGAAGCGCGACAGCCTTGAGCGACTCGAGCTGAAAGGCGTTCCCCCGCACCCACACAATCGGCGGCGTCGCCTCAAACACGCGCGCGAGCATCTCGCCTGGCCCGCTATAGGAGGGGTAGGCCGGCGGGGCGGTCTCGACGCAGTGCTCGCGGCACTCTGCCTTCAGCGCCTCGATCGAGGCGCCGCCCTTGTCGACGTCAGCCTCCTGGATCGGGATGAAGGGCCGGTTCGAGCCTAGCGCAGCGTACAGCTCGCGGCGACAGTTGAAGCTCTTGAAGTAGCCCGCGCTGAGGAAGACGAGAAAGGTCGTCGCGTCTCTGACCGACTCCTCGAGCCTGCCCACGTCCTCGAGATTGTCGACGTCGAGCCAGATCCGGACGCCGGGGAGAAGAAGCTGGAGCTGCCTCACGACGGTGTGCGTCTGGTCCTGGCCGGTTCCCCAACAGTGCGAGATGAAGCCGTGGAAGTGGCATGTGCGCGGCAGCGTGAGGACTGGGGGGCGGCCGGAGGAGTAGAGGCGGATGGTGGGCATGCGGACGGCGCTGATAGTCTTGAAGAGGACGACGAGCAGCGACGCGGCCAGCATTGCGGCGGTGAGCGCAATGACAAACTCACTCGCTACGCGCGCGCTGTCGAAGCCGACGAGGGCCTTGCACATGTCCTCGTAAGCAGCGCTCTCGCAGAGCTGAATCATCATGCCGGAGATGAAGCAGCATGCGAGAAACAGATTGGCGGTGCACGCGAGGTAGAGGTCGTCGTCACGCTTGAAGGGCCGGGCGAGGGTGAGAGCGGCGAGGTAGAGGGCTGAGACAACAGAGGCGACGAAGAGGCGGAGGATCTTGCTCGACCCGGTGTCTGTCTGGATGAAGAGCACCAGTGAAGCGAGGAAGAGCTTGCGGCCCAGATCGACGACCTCCCAGAAGAGGAAGCGCGGATCGTAGTCGCGCCAGAGGAAGCGGCAAGCGCGGGCCGTGGCCCTGACTCGCTGCGCCCGCACCTCGGAGCGGATCGAAAGCAGGAGCGCCAGGAAGGCTAGCGGGAACAGGATCGGCCAGAGCACGAAGAAGGCCCAGAAGTACGCGTCGAGGCCGCTGTACTGGTCGTCGTCGGCGCTGCAGAGCACGTCGAGGTCGGCAACGAGGTAGCTGCGCCTCTCCGCTGTCAAGTCGTCGACATTAAACGACTCGCACTGCCGCGCCTTGAAGATGGAGCGGGAGACAGAGGGCAGCACGAGGTAGGCGACGAGGATAGCCCAGTAGAGGAGGCGACGCAGCGTAGCGCGCACAAGGTCGCGCCGGAGGGCGTCGGCGCGACCAGACAGAAGCCACTCCGCGAGGGCGCAGCAGGCGAGGGCGGCGCCTCCGAGCATGATGGAGAAGATCGGCCACAAGCCTGCGAGCAGGAGCCGGTCTCCCATCGAGCCGATGCAGGCATCCGGATAGGTGAGGCCGATTAGGTCGAGGCTGATCGCGTCCATGAAGTCGGTCCAGCGCGTGAAGTCCTCGTGGAGGCGGACGCCGTAGACGGGGCCGAGCGTCGCGGCGATCTGGTAGAAGCTGACCAGGATCTTGAACTTGGGCTGGAAGCCGACCTAAGGCAAATGATGCGAATGGTGTCTCGCCACACGCAATATGTGAGGCAGCGACAGCTACTCCCGTTCTATTATCGGCAGAAAGTCCACGGCAGGAAGAGGCAGTGCAGGGTGACAGAGGGGGCTGCACGCCGACCTGCGACTCGCAGATGTCAAGACGTGCTCTGAAGCGGCCCCATGTCTCGGCGCGGGAGAGGGTGCGGTACAACGAGATCCCTGTCCACGCGAGAGCGACGGCGACTCCCGCCAGGATGCCGAACCGCCCCGTCGTCGGACAGTCGGCGCAGCCTCGCTCCGCGCGGCTGAAGTACTGCTCGTCGCTCACGCACCACTCGCAGAGCGGGCCGGTGTGACCGAGGTCGCAGCCTGGGCCGGCGCCGCCAGACGCAGCAACGAGGCGGCGGGAGGTCTCCGCCGCGCCGCCCGAGCCGCTGCAGTGGTCGGAGGCGTCGCACTCGTGGATCTCGGTGGTTCGCTCCGAGGCGCGCCAGTAATCGCGCCGGACGCCGAGGGTCTCGAGAGTGGTATTGGTCGCGCAGTTGGCGTTCAGCGGGCACGCTTTACAGTGCTCGGTCGGGAAGCGAAAGATGGCATCCGGAAGGGCGCTCGCGTCCCGCAGGTAGAAGCCCTCCTTGCAGATGGAGCAGGTGACGTCGCCGCTGTCGGAGCCGGTAGGGTAAGGGCAGGGGGTGCACTGCGACAGGCCCTCGCTCGCCGCGTAGGTGCCCGCCTCGCACTCCTCGCACTCGATGGTGGAGGCTGCGAAGCGTCCGATCGGGCACAGCTCGCAAGCAGACATGTTGGCCGAAGGGGCGATGCTGCCTGGAGCGCAAGGCGCTGGCTGCGCGGCGCCGCCGGCGCAGAAGCTGCCAGGCGCGCAACCGACGCAATCGTCGAGGCTCTCCAGCGTGGTGAACGCGTTGCCGTTGTAGAAGCCGGCGGGGCAGCTCGCGGGCAGCTGAGCGCTACTTCCCTTGGGACAGAACGTACCCAGCGCGCACTCGAGGCAGCCCGCGGCTCCGGAGTCCGGCTGGTACGTCCCGAGGCCGCAGACGGTGCACTGGTCCTGAGCAGGCTTGGCTGCGGTTCCCGGAGAGCACACGGCAGGCGCGGCGCCACCTCCCGCGCACGACGAGCCGGCTGGGCACTCGAGGCACTCGGGGTCGCCGTCGGCGTCCGTAACGTTGGCGTACGTGCCAGGCGAGCACTGCGCGGCCAGCTCGCGCGACGACCCCACCGGGCAAAACTTGCCAGCAGCGCAGCGGACGCAGGCGGCGGCGGCGGGCTGGACCTGGTAGTACCCCTCGGCGCACAGCTCGCACGCGTCGTTGCGGGTGCCGTTGGCGAAGCTGCCCTCGCGGCACGCCGTCTGCTCGGTGGAGCCGGTGGTGGCGAAGTGGCCCGGCAAGGCGGCGGTGCACTCGCCCGCGGCGGTGAGGTTGGTGGCGGTCGAGTACGACCCGGCGGGGCAGGGAAGGGGCAGGCTCGTCCCCTTCGGACAGTAATGACCAGCATTGCACGGCAGCGCCTCATAGGTCGCCTCTGTGGGGCACTGGGAGCCTGCTGGGCAGCGGCCGCCACAAGCGCTGCTCGACTGCTCCTCTGGGTAGGCCGAGCCGAGGACGCCGGCGGCGCAAGCAAAGGGGAAATCCTCCTCGACGGGTAGCAGTGGCAGCTGGTAGAGGTCATCGCCGAGGAGGGAGGAGTCGTCCTGCCAGTTGCAGGGCTGCACGAAGGTCGGGGCCTGGCAGTACCACAGCTCGTTGACCGTCGCGATGCAAGCCTCCTCCTTCTCTGGGCTGCTGTGCCTGCCGCACGCCTCCAGCTTCTCCACCTCCGACAAGGCGCCGATGGCATCGCTCTCCGCGAGCGCGCAATCGTCGCGGTGCTCGAGGCAGGCAGTTTGCTTTTCCTCATCGTAGTACGGATCGTAAGCGCACGCCCCGCGGTACACCTCGCAGCGCGCGTTTGGCAGCCAGTGGCCGGCCGGAGCGGGAAGGGCATAGGAGACCTCGCCAGCGAGCAGGAAGATAGAGCGACCCTCCGGGGCAGAGCAGCCGCTGATGAGGGTGCCGTCGCTCAGAGAGGTGCTCCCGCCCGCCGAGTAGAGGCCGCCGCCCCCCTCTGCGGCGATGCAGTTGGAGATGGTTGAGCGGGCCAGGCTGGCTGAGCCCGACTCCACGTACACTGCTCCGCCTCGCGTGGCATTGCAGCCAGAGATGGTGGAGTCGGCCACGATGAGGTCGGTGGCAACCATGTATGCAGCTCCGCCTCCGTGATTAGCAGCGCTGTAAGACTGCACAGCGCCAGCCGAGCAGCCCGTAATTGTCGAGCTGCTTATCGAGACCGCACCGCTGTCCCGCGCGTAGACGACGCCGCCGTGCTGCGGTTGCGAGGAGAGAGCGGGGTGAGGCAGCCGTGGCCCTCTCCATCTCCCGCCCCGCTGCCGGGCGGCGCTGGTGGAGGGAGGCTAGCTCTACGCGGCGCACCAAGCCAGCAGAGCAGCCCGACACGGTCGAGCCGATTATCGAGACCGCACCACTGTACCACGCGAAGACGACGCCGCCGTACTGCGGTTGCGAGGAGAGAGCGGGGTGAGGCAACCGTGGCCCTCTCCATCTCCCGCCCCGCTGCCGTGTGGCGCTGCTGGAGGCGGCTAGCTCTACGCGGCGCACATCGCCAGCCGAGCAGTCCCTCACGGCCGACTCGGTTATCGAGACCGCACCGCTGTTCCACGCGTAGACGACGCCGCCCTCCTGCGGTTGCGAGGAGAGAGCGGGGTGAGGCAGCCGTGGCGCTCTCTTTGCTAGATAACGCGGCACACCCCGTAGGGAAAAGAGCCAGTGGCAGAGCAGCCCCTCACATCCGAGTCGATGATCTCGACGTCGCCTGCGCCGTCCGCGTACACAACGCCGCCGCTGCCTGCACTCCCGTTGACGAGGGTCAGCCCCCGCAGGGTGAGGCTGCAACCGCCCGAGAGGTGAAAGAGCCTGGTCTGCCCCTGGCCGTCGAGCGTCGCGCCCTTGCCGCTGCTCGCGACGGTCACCTTGGTTCTGGAGGTGCACCTGAACTGGCTGCTCAGCTCGAAGTGCGCACTGGGCGGCAAGTAGATTGAGACGCTCTTCGCAGCAATTCCGGAGCACGCTCTGTACCGCCCAAGGATCGAGAACTCGGAGGTTTCGGTAGGGCGGCAGTCGAACGTAGCCGCTACAGCTGGATCGACTGTGGCCGTGCAGTCGCAGAAGAGCTCATCCGAGACGTCTTCATCCTCACTGATTGCGTTACTGAACGCGACCCGGCAGTAGGCCTGGTTTAGGGCTCGGACGATTCCCATGAGGTCCGAGAGTAAGCACACAGGGGCGTTTTCGTTCTCGATCAGGTTGCGGAGCTCGGCCTCGCTCGCCGCGGCGACAAAACCGGGGGCGAGCGGCGGCAGAGGCGGTGAAACTGGAGGCAGTGGTGGCGGTGTTGAGGGACGCGGTGCACATGCCAGCGGAAGCAGCGCGACGAGAATCAGCCACGCGCCGCGCCTCGACCCCGTCCGGCACCGCACGAGGCGCCCTCCCGAGTTGGTCCGCCGCAGCAAGGCCGCACCGTAGCGCGGCGGCCACATCCACTGCCTCAGCAGCCCGCCGCACGCTCCGAGCAGCAAGAACAAGGCGGCCAAACGCTGACCGCGCTGCCGGGCGCGGCCAGGCGCGGAAGAAGAGGTTCCGCTCGTGGAGGGAAAGTGGAACGGGGAGGGCAGCTCGATGGAGCGCTCGTCGGCCGGTGGGCCCGTGGGAGGCTTGTCGGTCTTGCAGAGCTCGTCGGTGAGCGCGTGGCGAGGCTCCACGTGCCACGCAAGGGCGGCGCAGTGCGGCTGCCAATCGGCGCACACACTTGGGACCGAGAAGATATCTGACTCGACCGCGTTCGAGTCGGCGACGGTGCTGACCTCTGCAGGCCACGCCGGCCCCTCAAGCGTGGCCGCGAGAAGAGGTTCGATGGCCCGGCAACGCTGGAGGAAGAGGTCCTTGGTTGGGACTCGAGAAGCGTCCGTCAATCCGTCGTTCGCCCGCCACTCGCCACCGGCGTGCATGCTAGCGACGGGCGCGCCGAGGCCAGTCTCGACCAGCTTCCGCACCTCCAGCATCCCAGGCTTCCCAGCGTCGGCGGGCCGCAACTCGGGCGACGTGTCGTTCACGGGCAAGACGGTGTCGCGTCCCCGAGCGATGATCCCCGTCCTGTTGCTGTAGACGGGACCGACGAGGTCGATCTCAGGCTCGCCCTTGCGCTCCATGCTGTTGCGCGAGGCCGGGACGGTCTCCAAGTCGGCCCCGCCCTACACGCAAACAACAGGCACAATCCGGAACCGGATTACAAAGCTCGCACATAGAAAGAGCCAGAGGGGCGCTCACCGGCTGCTTCTCGTAAATTTCCTTGACGGACGCCAGCGGCTCGCCAATTAGGTGCAACGGCTCGCCCACTGCCTCGCCGATCTCGTCCATCAGTGCTTCCCACGAGCGCCCCTCGTCGCGTCCGCCCTGATCAGCGCGCGGGCTGTTAGTCACGAGCTTGCGCGGTGGGGATACTAGCACGCGCGAGCGAGCACGCACCGGGTGGTTGGCGGGCGCGCTGTCCGACGATACGATGGCTGCAAACGAGCTGGCGTCGTTGCTGCCAACCTCGCAGAAAGCGTTGGGCGATGCCGGCGTGAACGGCTTTGCGACGGTCGCGAGAGGCGATGTCGGCCACGGGGAGTCGTACCGCTGCGAGGAGAGAAGCGCGGAAGTGGCAGAGTACGAGGAGTGCGCAAACGCGGCTCCGAGGCAGATCAGCGCGAGGATGGCAAAGAGGCGGAGCAAGTTGTAGGACGGGCAGAGCTTGGGCCACGAGAACCGGCCGGAGGCCGAGACGGAGCTGTCCAGCGTGGGAACTGTGGTCGTCTCGACCATGCCCTGAACAGGAGGGCGCGAGACTGGCCGTGCGCGCGGCAAACGGGGGCGGAGGCCGCATATGTGTGCAGGCGGCGCGCACCGAGTCCGTGGTCGGCGGCGTGGAGCCGCGGGGCGGCCGCGCCTTGTGGGCCACCTTGCCGCCGCCACCGACGTCCTCGTTGCCGTTCGTTCCGAGCAGGGCCCCGAACCGGTTCTTGCCGCCGACCCAGGAGACGTTCTCGACGCGGCCGACCCGGGCGGACGAGCCCTTGCGCGCCTTCTTGCGGCGCAGTTTCGACGGGTTGGTCCAGCCGGAGATGCCCTGCGCACGCGCAAGCGGTGGGTGCGTCAATTATAGTCGAAGCGTGCGAGGCGATCGGCGCCGTGGCGGGCTTCACCCCCGGAGACTCCTTGGCCGAGACGGTCCGGTCGGCGTCGCCCTACGCAATGAAAGAGGGGTGGGGTCAAGGGGTGGGTCGGCAGACGCACGGCGCAGAATGCAAGGTGCGCGCCGCCGGGAACTCCTTCATCGACGGCAGCGGCGCGTCGCCGGCCGCCGCCGGCTCGAGAGCCGGATCTTCTTTGGTGACGCCGCTGGGGGCCGTCGGTGGGTCGATCGAGGTGGTGCTCTTGGAGCAGTCGACCAGGTTGGGCTCGCCCTTGCCGGTCTTCCACTCGTCGATGCCCTGCGCATGTGCGAGAGGCAAAGGGCCGATAGGAGAACCGCCCGTGGGACTCCCGCTACACCCGTGAGGTGTGTGCACGCGCTGAGAGAAACTCACCGCCGTGGCGAGCTTCTCCTCTGGAGACTCCTTGGCCTCACCCTCGCGCCCGTTGTTGCGGCGCGGGTTCGACGGGGTCGTCCAGTCGGCGAAAGCGCTCGGCTTGTGGGCGGCAGACACGGCCTTGGCAGAGTCGAACGCGGTCAGGTCCTTCTTGGGGACCTCCTTGAGGAAGGCCTCCGCGCCAGACTCTGCCACGGGGATGTCCTTCGCGAGGGCTACCTTGGTGCCGCACGCCTGTGGCCGAGGGAGCTACGCAGGTGTTTGGAGGCTTGGAGGTCGCACGGATTATGTTGATCCGGGCGTGCGAACGCACCTCGTCTTCGAGGAGCACGGGAGCCATCGGCGCAGACTCGCCCTCGGACGCGACGGGCGTCCCGCCGCCGTCGCCGATGACGTCCTTGAGCGACGCGGGCCCGCTCTCGGACGAGATGCCGTCGGCCTTGCCTCCGGCAGCGTCGATGACGGACGAGAGCGGCGACGGATCGGCGACGGTGTACGTGAGGCGCCGCGAGTCGGCGCAGGAGTCGAGCGAAGCGCGTGCCGACGACGCAAGCACGACGCCGACGTCCTCAAGCGAAGCGGGCTGCTTGCTCTCGGACTGGAGCGAAACGGGCTCGCCCTTGGGCTGGATGCCGTCCTCGAGCGAAGCGGGCTCGCCCTTGGACTGGATGCTGGCGGCCTTGGCTCCGACAGCGGTCGTGTTGCCCGCCAGCGACGCCTGTGACAGCCAGAGGGCGAGAGGATAAGTCTTGAAGGTCTCGTGGGAGCGCAGTTTCACTGCGCGCAAACACGCGCCTGCTTGTCGGCACGCGGCGGCGGCGGAGGTGGAGAGATCTTGATAGCGAGCCGATTACCGTCGGCCGGCACGAACTCGAGTTTGAGCTTGTCGAGCATAGGCGGTCGAATGAGTTCCTATATGGAGGAAAGTAAGACGGGACAGTGAGGAACGAGTCTATGGGATCACGACCATGTGAACGAGGGTCAAAAAACACTGTGGAGATGATTGGGGGTATATTGGTGCATGTGGACATGGTACATGGACATGGGGTGTGTATGAGGCTGTGCACAAAAATGGTGCCGCTCAAGGGCATGCTGAATGGGAAGAGAGAGCGAGCCGGAGAGAGGAGAGCCGCGCCTACGGGCAACACGTCGCGGCGTGAGCGTCGAGACGAGGCCGCCGGCACGCTCTCTCGCGTCCTCGGCGCGCGGACTGGAGCAAGCGAGAGCGGGTCGCTCTCTTGCCAGAAGAGAGGGAGGTGCGGTCGCGCGGGACAAGGGTGGGGAATGGGCAGCAGCGGACGCGTCTCGCGACCTCCTCGATGGCAGCGGCTGTACCTGCGAGCGGGAGCAGGCAGGCGGTGCGAGGCCGAGGGGGGTCAGCCGCTCGCGCCGCGATCGAGGGCGCATCGCGTGGTGAGGAGGTGCGGCGGATTCCGTGAGCAATAGGCGGCGCGGGGGTCTAGGCGTGCAGCTCGCGGCGGCATAGTCGGGCGCAATGCGGCGCGGCAAGCGCGAGCGGGCGAGGAGAGTGCCAGCTTGCCTTACGACTCGCTCTCCGCGTAGAGCGTTTTGACGCAGAGAGCGGTCACATCTTCGAGTCACCGTTCACAGTTGTGGCTGTGAATTGACCCGTCGGGTCGGGTTGTTGCTGTACCCTGTGTCCCTTGGCTTGCCTGGTGTGGATGTCTAAGGCCGTTCCGTCTTGCGCCGTTGCGGCAGTGGCGTCGCGCTCTCGCTGCCTCCCCCCGCACCCCCCCCCCCCTCCAGCAACCGCCCCCATCGCACTACGTGCGATTGGGTGTTGCTGTGGGCAAGGTAGTACCGTGGGCGCGCCCTCGCAGCCCACCGTCCCGCTCCCCCCTGTCGTCTTCCTTCTCACCTTCCCCGCCCTCTGCGCCCCCTCCTCCGCCGTTCCTCCCCGTCATCGTGCCCCGCAGCATTGCAGCCAGTCTAAGAGCCTGATCCCGCGTCCACTCGTCCCCCGCATCGCCCGCTCTTCCTCCCTCGCCGCCTCCCTCAGTCCGCCGCGTCCTCTGCCCGGCCCGCCGCGTCTTTCGCACCGCCTTCTCCGTCCTAGTGCTTATGCCCACGTCTCCCCCCTCCGCCGCTACCACTGCTACTACCCCTGTGGCAGTCGCTACATGGCACGCCTGTGTCTCGGCCGCCTCCATCGCCGTCGCTCCATCCTCCTCTTCGTACGCGAGCAGATCGCGATTCTCATGGAGCATCTCCTCCATACTCTTGCGCCCCTCCTGCCCGTGTTGCGCGCACAGCCACACGGGGGAATGTCGATATAAATTGTTAGTTTGGCTCTCGGATACTATCTCGTATCTGTTGCAATGTACATTTAGTCTGTCCTTTGGGTTGTTTGCATGTTTAGGTGTTTTGGTTCTGGTGTTCGGGCGAGGGGAACTGAACGAAAGATTGAACGTGAGTTGTCCGTATTACGATGCTCTCTCTCTCCGTGGGCTTCCCCGTGGACGTCACCGTCCCACACCATGTAAAGGCCCATACGCGCCGTTAATCGGCGCGACAGGCGTCACGTCTTTCTGTGCGCGGTGTGCGGAAACGCTTTGGACGGATTGGGCTGTCGTCGGCGGCGTGGCGACACTGATCCGGCGTGCAGCTGGTCGGCGTGTAGCTGGTGCGTGCTCGTGTGGCCAAAATGGATCAGCGAAAAAACACGCTCCGCAGCCGCCGAAGTGGGTGTGAAGGGGAGAAGTGTAATTTTCGGAATAGGGGATAGGCGGTGGCGAATAGGCTGTGGAATAGCCTGTGGTCTAAAGTATTTCACACTATTTCAGTTAGGCACATACAGTTCGAACTGTAAAGTATTTCACTTCGTATTTCATGAAATAAAGGTCAGGGCACCCAGGGGCAAAGCAGGATACACCGGCACCGCGCAGGGGCTGCAGCAGGCTGTGCGTGGGACGTGCACGTGGGAGCGTTACAGCTTTACCGTTAAAATTTTCAACTTTGTCACAATTTTCTTTATACAGCCGACCCGTACTGCGCCAGTCAGCACAGTCTGCAGTCACGTGCCACTGGAGCTCCGTATTCTTGATCTGGACTCTCTCGCCCTCCGCTTCATCTAATCTTGCATCTTCTTATCTGAGCGACGGAAGTCAGATTCTCGATGACGCGACTCGGCGTCGTGTGCAAGTATCGATCGATTGCAAGACAGCACTCGGTGAAGGCACGAGGCCAGGCCCTCTGTTGTGCGCACTCCAGCTCATAAGGTCCCAGCGCAGTCTCTGCATCGTCCACGTGCCGCGCCCTCATGAAGCCTCCGGCCTGGCGCTTCCGCAGGATGACGACCGGGAACTTACCCGAGCCGTGGACAAAGGATGGTGAACGCATCAGCCCTCTCTTCAAACTGGCTCTGGTCCTGCCACCGCAGCGCCTGCTCAAAGATGCGCATGATGGCCTCCTCGAAAAACCACGACGCCCGATCGCGGTGGACCGCAAAGAACCAATCTGCTGGCGCACTGTCAACCTTGAGGGGCATGATGACCTTCCCGGGCGGGAGGCTGTCGAACAGCTTGCGTGGCATCGGGAAGAGTGGCAGTAGGTCTGGCCGAGTACGGATTATCCACTCGTACTTGTAGCCGCGCTGTGTCTCGTGTGCGGCGATGTCGCGAAAGGCCTGCCGCACGTGAAAGTAGGAGAGCAGGCCGTGCGCGTGTCTGGCATCCGTGAACTTGGTGACGTAGTTTAGCTTGGCGCCTCGTAATCTCGCTCTGCGCATCGGGCTGCAGGCTTCTCACAGCCTGGACGACCTGCTTCAGGACGCCCCTCGCGTCCATCCCCTGCGTTGGGTCGCTCAGCGAGATGAGCATGAAGGTGTCCGAACTCGATGGATAGCTGATCTTGATGGCATGTGAGACGAATGGCAGCCACAGCACTCGCACAGCACCGACAAACGCCACGGCAAGACCGGACATGCGGTAGCGCGACCTCCTCGATGGCAGCGGCTGTACCTGCGAGCGGGAGCAGGCAGGCGGTGCGAGGCCGAGGGGGGTCAGCCGCTCGCGCCGCGATCGAGGGCGCATCGCGTGGTGAGGAGGTGCGGCGGATTCCGTGAGCAATAGGCGGCGCGGGGGTCTAGGCGTGCAGCTCGCGGCGGCATAGTCGGGCGCAATGCGGCGCGGCAAGCGCGAGCGGGCGAGGAGAGTGCCAGCTTGCCTTACGACTCGCTCTCCGCGTAGAGCGTTTTGACGCTGTCGAACCACCAGCCCGACGCTCACTACACTTGTAGTGAGCGTCGGGCTGGTGGTTCGACACCGAGTTTGAAAGATCTGTTTCTCTACGTCTCTCTTCACATAAACGCACAACTCCGGACCCAAGACGCATAAGCACAGACAGTCTCTCTTCACAGGAAAATCCTGTGAAGAAAAGGAAAAAGTGACAGCAGAGAGCGGTCACATCTTCGAGTCACCGTTCGCAGTTGTGGCTGTGAATTGACCCTTCGGGTGCGTCGGGTTGTTGCTGTACCCTGTGTCCCTTGGCTTGGCGGAATGGGGGTACAGGAAAAGAACTATACCGGAAAAGAATTGAAAAATTGTGCTTTATTTTGTGAGGTTGTTTCGTGTTAGGTTGGGTTGAGAGAGATTTTTAGCAATACCAAACAACTCTAACACTCACACGTCATTTGGGGCCTGGAGCCCCTGCACAATGATGTTTATGGTGGTTAAAAGTTTGGGGGGGGGGGGGGGGGACAGACGGTTTTGGGGATCTGTTCACGCGCGCGCGAGACGTGCAGACAGGGTTGCCAGGTGAGAGCGAATGGCGCGGTTCACGCCTCGCACAACAGAGAGAGAGATGCGCTCTGCATGGTGGGACATATTTGTTTGTTGTTTGGGTTGTGGTTGGGGTGAGGTTGTTCCGAGTGAGGTTGGTGTCCGAGGAGGCCACCGGCCAAAAGCGCATGTCTTGAAGGTCCGATACTGGAAGCCCATATAGGCACCTTACACTCCCCCGCAGTATCGCACCTCTTGAGCGACACTACGTTTCCGCAGCTGGGGATTCTCCGGGTACCCCTCTTTGTACCCGTGCTGGCCGGATTCGTTGGAATGCGGAGATAGTAACTACTCTCTGTGGTGCCCCCTTACATGTTTTCTTTCTTTTTCTACTCGGAGCCAGTGATACGAGAATACGCACGTGTTACGAGAATACACACTGCCCCCACGGAGTACCTGTACTACTCGACGATAATACAAGAATACGCAGCTTGGAAGTTGCAGACGCCTATAAAGAAAAAAGAGCCAGCTAAATTTCGGCGGCTAAATTTAGCAAAGGACGGGCGCTTTTGATCGGCAAAGCAAAGTTGGAGTAACGGCGACCGCGTCGCCACAATGCCAGTCGCCTGTCGAGCAGCCTTGGCGGCGCGCATGCGCCGCAGGCTGGGTTGACCGACAGCCGCGCGCCTCGAGCCTCTCGCTCCACTCGCGGCACGACGCACCCCGCGCGCCGGTCAGCGCAACAGGAGTATTGCGACATGCTGCACAACGCCAAGGACAGCACTGAGAAGCTGGCGCCAGTCGCCCACCAGCATGTCTCAGCACCGGGTGAGGGAGCATGCTGCGCACGCTGATGCAGCAGGAGGTCACCACCAATCAGGCCCTCACGCCACCGCACGGCCGCCCTCGAGCACCAGCAGCCGCGCTGCGCAATGCTCAAGCTCAGGAGGCCACCCTGCTTCTCGCAGCTTTGTGCAGCGCAGCGAGCGAGCAGCGCCGCACCCGGCGGAGGACCCATGGCGTGCTCAGCCAGCCGTGAGGCGGAGGCAGGCCGAGTGAGCGCGAGCCTCGCGGGAGGCCATGCCCCGCGCACCGGCGAGCGAGTGGCACGAAAGAGCGCAAGTCGCGCGTGTGAGTGAGTGAGTATTCTTGATACGAAACCACGACGACACACACCAGTCGACTCGCATCGGTTGCCTCCATGAACGGCGGAGCTATTCTCGCGCCCACACCACACCTGGCTCCAACGTGGACACGCCCATAGCTGGGGACACTACTAGGTCACGCATCGCATCAGAAGTTTTGTCTCTGGGCCCCGAAAGGCATCTCTAGCAGCGTCGTTACACATGCCCCCTCCCCTCCTGGGCGCATGCGCCTCACGTCTCGCCAGAGCATAAGCCCTTGGCGTGTGGCGAGACGAGTTTTTCGCCATGCAGCGAGCAGCAAGCCGCCCGCCGCAAACAGCCGGAGGCCTCGCCGCGGCACTGGCTGCGCCGCGGTCCCGCACCCGTCGACGCAGCTCCCCCCGCGGAAGACCGACCGCGCGTAGCGACGCCTTGACGATCGAGATGAGCGTGCCTGAAGCTCGCCCACCTACTGCCCCTGAGAGTTGGTTACGAGTGGGATCAGCTCCCCCCCTTGGGATCACACACACACACACACACACACACACACACACACACACACACACACACACACACACACACACACACACACACACACACAGGTAGGTAGGTAGTAAGGTGAAGAACAGCCAGGCTCGGACTGGACACCAACGCGGTATGGGTGGACGCTGGACAGATGATGACGACACGCACGAGCGACACACAGACACAAACAAGCTCACGAGACACACAGCCAGCGGGCTGCCACACATCCTGAGTGGGCGTACACATCACTCAGGCCACGTCCCCCCTGTCGCCCCCCCCCCAGCACTCCACGGTCACACGCAAGTCCGTCGTAAATTCGGATTATTGCCGCCCTAGCCCCGGGGGTGCGCGTTCGCAGGGTAATTCTTTCTTATATTCTTTCGTGCAATCAGACGCCGTAGCGCGCTGCCATGGTGGCCGCTGCCTTGGGCAGTGGCCACGGTGGCCGACCCAGGGCTCCTACGCGGCTACAGCCGCGCGCGACCGCTGCCGCTGGCACCGGTCGCGAGGACTCTGGCTCGGCATGCGCGCCACCGGCCGGTGGGCCGCGCTCCGCAGGACGACGCCTGGATGCAAAAGGCATCCCGTGCACGCTTCAGCAGAGCTCGGCCGGCCGGCCGCCGCGATGGGGCGGCGAGCACCTGGAGGCCCCTCCTGGCGCTGCTGCCTCAGCTCGACCGCCGGGCGCGCCGCGAGGCGAGCAGCAGCGAGGCGAGCAGCAGCGAGGCGAGCAGCAGCGAGGCGAGCAGCAGCGAGGCGAGCAGCAGCGAGGCGAGCAGCAGCGAGGCGAGCAGCAGCGAGGCGAGCAGCAGCGAGGCGAGCAGCTGCGAGGCGAGCAGCTGCGAGGCGAGCAGCTGCGAGGCGAGCAGCTGCGAGGCGAGCAGCTGCGAGGCGAGCAGCTGCGAGGCGACCTGCTGCGAGGCGACCTGCTGCGAGGCGACCTGCTGCGAGGCGACCTGCTGCGAGGCGACCTGCTGCGAGGCGACCTGCTGCGAGGCGACCTGCTGCGAGGCGACCTGCTGCGAGGCGACCTGCTGCGAGGCGACCTGCTGCGAGGCGACGTCTGCCGCCGCGCTGGCCACCCGCTTCCTCGCCAGCCCCTTCTCACTCTCGAGGAGGAGCTCTGCGATGTGCTTGGCGTCAGTCTGGACGACGCCGACGTGGTTGTCCTCCGGGAGGCCCTTCGGCGGGTGGGGAACCAGAGCGAGCTGCGGCGGGCGGGGCCGCGAGGCGGCGGCGAGTGGCGGAGCGTCATGCGATGCGGCGGCTGCCAGGGCTGCGTCCACCCGCGACTCAGGTCCGGGTTTGACCTGAGCGCGCAGTGCGCTTCGTCTCCCTCTGGCGGAGGTGGACCCGCTGTGTCTGTTGACACATCGGATTCCACGCCGCCGGTGGAGGAGGGACTTGGGCGCACGGTGCTGTCGGCTGGCAGTTCTGGCCCGCCTTCTGGTCTTGGAGATGTCCACGTTCACGCGACTGTCGGAGGTAAATCGCCCGAGCTCGTCTCGGGCGTGGCCGGCACTCCGTTCTTTTATTCCCAGGTGAGTACAATCCAGGATCAGGTGGCGGGCGGGGCGGCTGTCAGGACGCCAGCGGAGGCGGCGGTCGAGCGGGCGGGCGTGAGGACCGGGCGAGGCGGCGGGCGGCGGGCGAGGCGCCAGGCGGGACGGCTGCTGGCGCAAGTGCGCATGGGGGAGACGGCGGCGCGGGTGGCGAGCGCACGCGCAGATGGGGGGATCGGGAGGGGGGCGGAGTCGATTGCGGCTTTGGGGAGGGTCCGGCGGGGAGGGCGGGGTGGGTCGGGACGGGGTGGGGCTTTGGGGAGGGGTCCGGGGTGGGGTGGGGTGGGGCGGGTGTCGGAGGAGGGGATTTCGGACGCCGGCTCTTGTGGCGAGGACGATGGCTTCTAAGGAAGCCGTCGTCTGCGCCTTGTCTGTCGTGTGAATCGTGCGTGTGCGAGAGCCTTTTTTGTGAAATTCTTCTTTCGGATTATTTGCCGCTCAACAACCGTCGCGGGAGGGCGCACATAGCCCATTCTCGGCCCCCAATCGCCACTGCCCACCCGCCAGAATCTCCTGCCGTCGCCACAGGTGCCTCGGGCGCTGTGGCATGGGCGTGACGGGCTTCTCCGCCCTCCTCAAACACGCCGCGGTGCCGACACCGCTCACGCAGTTTGCCGGCAAGAGGCTCGCGGTGGACGGCAATGTGTGGCTGCACCGCGGCACCTACTCGTGCGCGCTGCAGCTCGTCTCGGGCGAGGCAACCTCGGGCCACATCCGGTACTGCCGCAAGCTCGCCGAGCTGCTCGTGTCGGCAAACTGCCGCGTCCTCGTCGTGTTCGACGGCCGCCCGCTTCCGGGCGGGAGGAGAGGAGGACGGGCGGATGCGCCGACGGTCGCTCGGTGTGGCCGTAGGCCGGTCGCTGCCGGCCAAGGGCGAGGAGCACGGCCGCCGCCGCGTGCAGCGGGCGCGGGCGCGGCGAGAGATGGAGGAGCTCGACGAGCAGGCGCGGGAGATGACCCGAGATTGCCGAGATTGCCCGAGATTGCCCGAGGTCAGCCGAGATGGAGGAGCTCGACGATCTCAGGTGCGGGAGATGGAGGCGGAAGAGGCGGCTGGCGGAGGCGGCTTCTCGGGCGAGCTGCGGGGGCGTGTCGAGGAGGTGCGGCGGAGGCTGGAGGAGGCGGCGCGCCGCGCCGTCCGCGTCTCCGACGAGATGGTGGAGGAGGCGGGAGATAGCCGAGAGATAGCCGAGAGATAGCCGAGAGATAGCCGAGAGATAGCCGAGAGATAGCCGAGAGACCGTCGAGAGATAGCCGAGAGATAGTCGAGAGATAGCTGAGAGAGAGCCGAGATCTGATGAAGCGGCGCCATGAATGAGCCGGGAACATACCGAGTGCATACTTAATTAATTAGGTGATGGCTGACCTGAGCGTAATTAATGAATACTTAATTAATGAATACTTAATTAATCAGGTGATGGCCGACCTGAGCACACTCAGCGGCGTCGAGGTGACGAGCGCGCCGTGCGAGCACATTCATTGGCACCACCAAATAAGTACAGTAGCGTCTAATTAGGTGATGCGTGCGCCATACGAGGCGGACGCGCAGCGCGTGCACGACGCGCGTTTTGGCGTCTACTTCCCTAATGAATGCGCGAGTTAGCAGGTCCTCGCGTGCGATCGACCACCTCCACACGACTGGTTGATGCATTCGTTGAGTGAATGAATCGCCGAAGTAGGCGGACGCGCAGCTCGTGCACTTGGCGCGCCACTCTGACGTGCACGCGGTGGTTACCGAGGACTCGGACCTCGCGGCGAGATCTCGCCGAGATCTCGCCGAGATCTCGCCGAGATGTAGCCGCGAGTGCTGTTCGAGACTCGACACCGTTCGTTGATCATGAGCCAGTGGATGGATGCACCAGGCGCACGCGCTGCCGCGAGTGCTGTTCAAGCTCGACCGAGTCAACGGGCTCGCAATGCTCGTCGAGCGGACCAATTAATCCAAGCAATGAATTAATGAGCTGCTAAATTAATGAGCTACAGGATCGCAATGCTCGTCGAGCGAGACCAATTAATTAAGCAGTGAATGAACTCGCTAATTCATGACTCTAGGATCGCAATGCTCGTCGAGCGAGACGCGCTCTTCAAGCTGTCGACGCGCGGCTTCTCGCTTCGAGGCGACGACCAGACGACGCGGCCGCAGAAGCGTGTCCTGCTGACAGGTCTTCGTTCGACACTTGAGTTGTGAGGAGCTAGGCTACGACGAGACGATGCTGCTGCACATGCGCGTCCTGTGCGCGGGCGTACACTCCCTCGGCACGCATCGCTCACTCACTCGCCGGTGCATTAGGTGCGTCCTGTGCGGTGTGGACTACCTTGCCTCTCCGCGCGGCTTGGGGATCAAGACGGCAAACAAGCTGGTCGGCAGGCAAGCACACCAACACACACACACACAGAGACACAGACACACACACTTGGACACACACACACACACACACACACACACACACACACACACACGCACACACACACACACGCACACACACACACGCACACACACACACACACACACACACACACACACGCACACACACACACGCACACACACACGCACACACACACACACACACACACACACACACACACACACACACACACACACACACACACACACACACACACACACACACACACGCACCGCTCACCCACGCACACACACACACACACACACACACACACACACACACACACACACACACACACACACACACACACACGCACAAGCTCGTCGGCAGGCTCAAGGACGGCATGCGCGCCATAAAGCACCTGTCCAGTTGCCTAATCAACTAGTTAAGTCACGAATTCCCAGGCTCAAGGACGGCATGCGCGTCATTAAGCACTTGCGCGTGCACGAGCGGGCGATCGGCGTGCCGGAGGGGTAATCAGGTAGAGTCCTCTCGGGGAATTAAGTAATTAAGTGCTTAATTAGGCGATCAGCGTGCCGGAGGGGTACGAGCGCTCGTTCTTCCAGGCACGAGATATGGGGAGATATGGGGAGGTATGGGAAGATATGGGAAGCTGTGAGAAGATGTGGGGAGGGATGGGGAGGGATGAGGAGATGTGGGGAGATATGGGGAGGTATGGGGAGGTATGGGGAGATATGAGGAGATATGAGTCCTCCCTCCAGGCCCTCGCCTCCTTCAAGCACCAGCGGGTCTGTGAACAGCGCCTCTTCACACCTCGAGCTGTGAACAGGCCCTCGCCTCCTTCAAGCACCAGCGGGTGTGGTGCGAGCGCGAGCAGGCCGCCGCGTCCCTCCTCTCGCCTCCTCTCGCCTCCTCTCGCCTCCTCTCGCCTCCTCTCGGCTCCTCTCGCCTCCTCTCGCCTCCTCTCGCCTCCTCTCGCCTCCTCTCGCCTCCTCTCGCCTCCTCTCGCCTCCTCTCGCCTCACCTCGCCTCACCTCGCCTCACCTCGCCTCCTCTCGCCTCCTCTCGCCTCCTCTCGCCTCCTCTCGCCTCCTCTCGCCTCCTCTCGCCTCCTCTCGCCTCCTCTCGCCTCCCCTCGCCTCACCTCGCCTCACCTCGCCTCACCTCGCCTCACCTCGCCTCACCTCGCCTCACCTCGCCTCCTCTCGCCTCCTCTCGCCTCCTCTCGCCTCCTCTCGCCTCCTCTCGCCTCCTCTCGCCTCCTCTCGCCTCCTCTCGCCTCCTCTCGCCTCCTCTCGCCTCCTTCGCCTCCTCTCGGCTCACCTCGCCTCCTCTCGCCTCCTCACGCCTCCTCTCGCCTCCTCTCGCCTCCTCTTCGCTCCTCTCGGCTCCTCTCGCCTCCTCTCGCCTC